CTCTTATAAATTATTAGGTAATTTAGCACTAAGAAGCATAGAGTTAATTATATCGGTAAAAATCATATTCTTTCTTTCAGCCAATCCATTTTGTAGAGGAGTGAAAGGGGCTGACTTTTGGTGAATAATACCATGCTCTTCATAGAAGGTTTCAAATTCATTTGAGAAATATTCACCACCTCTATCACTTCAAATCATTTTGATCTTCTTATCTTTTTGGTTCTCAACTTCAGCCTTATAAATTTTAAATTTATCAAAGGCTTCATCTTTTGTTCTATGGAAGTACACATAAGTGTATCTAGAACAAACATCAATGAAAGTGATAAAGTATCTCTTTCCTCCTCTTGTCATAATATCATTATACTCACAAATATCGATATGAATCATATCTAATATTTGAGTATTTCATTTGGCTCTAGGAAAGGGTTTCTTAGTCATCTTTATTTGTATACAAATTTCACACTTATCATTTTTAACATCTTTGCATTAATCAAACCATGTTTAGACATATATTTCAAAGATATAAAATTTAAGTGTGCTAAACGTGTATGTCAAACATCAAAAGAGTCAACAATATAAAGAGAATTCATATAATCTTTATTATTAATGCTAAGTTTATACATGTCATCGCAAGAATATCCCTTTCTCACAAAGACCCCATTCTTAGATATAATACAATTATTACCCTCAAGTACAATCTTAAGCCCATTCTTACACATTATAATAGCGAATACAAGATTTTTCTTTACATCAGGAACATGAAGAACATTGTTCAAAGTAAGCTTCTTTTCAGAAGTAAAGTTGATCTCCACCACTCCTCTCCCGGCAACCATCGCTGCCTCTTTGTTCCCCATGAAAACTATTTATCTTCCTTTTCCACTTTGTATGATGAGATAATAAGTGTTATGTGATTTTCTTTTTATTTAGATGTATAGTATGTAGTATATATTTTTATCTAAAAGCGATCGACGTCAGTGTAACACAAAAATATATATACATATATATTTAAATGAAACAGAGATCATACAACTAATTAAAATGGACTCTTCAGATCATATTAATCTCTAGTTTACACCCATCACGAGATTTTGTTCTCTATCAACCTCCCCATTTTCTTAAAAAATAAAATAAAATTATAAAAGAGTTTTAAAAGAAAAAAAATGTTTAAAATTTCTATTAATCCAGAAGAAAATAAAAATTACAACTAAGAAAGACTATAAAAATATACGGAAAAAGAGAAAGAGGAAAAATAAAAGTTCGTATACAGAAGGATACAAAACTAACAAAACCATCGATCGAGTACAGGATAAAAAACCAAAGCAAAAGAAAATTACCTACATGTCTAAAAGTCAAAGTATGATAAATTGTGTCAAATGATATTGAGGCACGCACTAATTTAAGCATAAAGAGAAATAGGTTATACCTAATTAATTAATGAGATGTTGACATACTGAGTGAGTTAGATAACGACCACGATAACAATTCATTATTGTTGTTTTCCGTCACAAAGCAATAACCCTATGTATAAGGACCATCCTGTTCACTTGGCCATCCCCCTACGGATCATAAATGATAATATTAACGAGTATGAATGAATCGCCAAATTATTGATGAAAGTATTTACACTTTTAGGTAGCAATTAAACTTTATTAATGATAATTATTTTGAGTTATTAACCTGTGGTTTTGTGCGAGGTTTGACCAAAGAAAGCCGCGAGCTCCCTTTTACATGTGGCATCATCGCTGGTGGTGCCAAAGCCATTGAAAGACCTAACAGCAGTGATAAAAGCATCGTAGGTGTAATTAGAACCCGTGAGCCGGGCACCGGTTATCAAGCAACGATCTTGTGATGATGCTGCCGACGTCACCGATACTTGGGGTTGGTGTAGAGAGTGTCACCGGCGTTGAACCGCCACATTGGCTTTGGCAGTTCTTTCCACATGAGGGGTGATACAAATTATTGGGACATAAAGCGCCTCCCGCTTGTCTTCCACATTGTTTCGCAAAGGCAGGTCTTGTTGCCGAGAAAGCTAAGTACAACAGGACAGTGATCACAGAACTACAAGATTTCATTTTCTTTTTCTTTTTCAATTTCCTTAATTTTTAGTATGTAGAAAAGATTGAGAGATTGCTTTGGTATTAATAGATAATGATAGGCACAAAAAGACTTAGGGCTTGTTTTTTCAGAGTAAAACTTAAAAAAAGTTTGAATTCAAGTTACAATTTTATTTAAATTCATGTTCGTTTGTAAAATATGAGTTTGAACGTAAGTTTTAACTTGAGTTTGGGGCTAAAATCTGAGTCCAAGTTTTCCCTTCAACTCAAGTTCTTAAACTCAAACTCAAGTTAATGAACGGTATTTTTTTATTCTTAAAAACGTTAAAACTTTTTCATTTTAATTCTGATTGAAATGATTTTTCTTTCTATGCATTCACAATGAAAAGAGGAATAAAACTCCAACCATATACCTTATTAAAATTTTTCATCACCATTGAGTTTTTATTAAAATATTATTTAAATACAAATTTAAGTTTTGACCCACTCAAATACAAATTTAAATAGATTCTCAATTCAAATCATAACTCAAATGTGCACATCCAAATTATGCAAACTCAAATTATAACTTCAACTTAAATTCACTCAAAATCTATACTCAAATTACCATAACTCAAAAATACAACCAAACAAATCCGTAATTTCTAGCTTAAGAAAATTCAAAAACGATGGCGGACTTTTTGTTCCACTAATTAATTCTGTTTTCGCATATTCATCAAGATGGCTAAAAAGATGTCCGAAGAGTCAAAGGAATGATGTATACCACCCTATAGGCCACAGAGTAGTACTCGTGACCAATGCCCATACTCCAAATTGCGCAAATATTATCATCTTCAATTTTTTTTCTTGAATTTATTTATTTATTTATTTAAAAAAATCTTCTTGAATTGCTAACTAGCACTAGTTTTTGTCTCTTTATGAGAAAAATAATACTTTTTTCTCATAAATTGTACCCATTTTTTTTTTATTATTATCACCGTTCTCTGTCTTTCTAGAAAAAGTCAAGGTTTATTGGAAGTTAACAATCCTACTTATGTATGCTCTAACGTTACAAGTATTGATTGACAGGAAAATCTGTTTTGGATGGTAATTTGTACGTCCTCTTATAATTTCCTCCAAAATTTTGTTATTTAGTTTATGAAATATAGAATTTAAGTATAACTCTCTTCAGCTTATTTTATTGAATCTAGCTAATTATTAAGGAAGCACAATTCCATTAGGGAAAAGGTCATGCGTAAGTGCTTGATTCCGATCTGCAATTATAGTAATTTCAAAAAGTCTAAACAGGCCACTTAAGTTGCTGAATTGGTGTTGAACGTTCTGTTTTTCTTTTTCTAGATCAAGTTAGGATACGTTGATCATGCAGGTGCAAATTGTTTTGCCCTGTCCATTTGACTATAATATATAATATATATATATATATATATATGGGCCAAGTTTCCAGTCCGGCACCGGACTGGAGCGGCACTTAAATATATTTTGTTTAAAATATGTATATTTTCTCTTTAAAACGGTATATTTTTTCTTAAAACATGTATATATTGCATATTTTATCATAAAAGGAAATGTACATGTTTTAAGAGAAAATATACACGTTTTAAAAAGAAAAGATACATATTTTAAAGAAAAAATATACAAGTATCGCTCCAATCCGGTACTGGATTAGAGGCAATTCCTATATATATACACATATATAAAAAATATTCAAGAAACTGGGACCAATGTTCTGTTATGACATTCCATACAATTGACTAAAACCAAAAATGGACTGGAAATAAGAAGCCTATGTTATGCTTTCATCAACTAAAGTCTAGCGAGGGTCAAAATTCACATTAGTCTAAATCATATTTCACAAACCGATAAGAGATATAATTTTAATCTCGTTGCGGATATTAATGAAAATCGATCTCGAAGTGCTAGATAAGAGTCTTAATTGGTCATCTTTCATCATTATACCACCACTACCGGTCGTAAGAATCAATACGTATATACACACATGCTAGAGGGGAATGTTATACAAATATACCTGATCTTTTCTATGTTTTTCTGTTTTAGAATTAATGGAATACAATATTTCAAATACTTCAAACTTCTGAAATCTCAATGACACGAGGATGAATGTCCATAAATTGACTAATATCGGTCGTATTATAATTCCAACAGGCTGCTTGGATAAAAGTAGTGTAAAATCAGGTAAAGGATATGCATTCTTTTTTTTCTTTTTCGATTTAGTCAAACAAGAAGTTGGGTAAAATTATTGTTGGAAGCAAGAACACAACCTTTTATCTTGTATTATTTATTGAACAAAACATTGATGCTGAAGCTTTTCCCTATTTGCTCTTAAATGTTCTTCTTTATCTAAATGGGCGTAGGATTAAATGAAATTTTCAGTTGCCAGAGTTGGAGATGGGATGTCCATAAAAGTCGTTCATATTTAACGTGTGATTCAGAAAACAACATGTAATTCACAAATTGAGAATTTAAAACGCATGTCGTAAACATGTCGCGATTTAAGGGGACGACGTGCCTTGTGTTGTAAGTAAAACCAAGCGTTACGTATGTCTTAGAAAACACCATGTAATTTATAGAATCGGTTTGCCGTGTTGATCTGTTATACTTGAAACGATAAGTCATTTCTATTTGATTGCATGTTTCGGTGATGTTGTTCATGAAAACTACATGTCATTCATATCTGAAGGGTATTGTGATCATTCTAAAACGACATGACATTTTTCCCAACGCTTTGCCATTCCTTCACCTTCAACACATTTAATTTGTATAGAAATCAGGGAAGCGGATGATTCTTGTGACTAGTTTTTTAAGTTTTTTTTTTCCTTTCGTAAAAATTATTCTTTCGGCTGTCTCTCTACTCTGCACGGTTCTGTCTTACGAGAGAAATAAGGCTCACTTTCAATGTGACGAAGTTATGAAATCAATACATCATTCAAATAAAAAAAACAAAAGATACATATAAAACCATATATTAAGATGAGAAAAAAGGAACTTTCCCATTACATATTATTCTGTTGACTTTGTTTAACGGAGTCAGATCAAGAGATCATTCTCTTTTTAATATTTTAAGATAAGATAATCGTTTAGGCAAAAGGCCTTTGACTATAACAATCCAAGTTATTCCCATAGCTCACTCCTAACAAATCACAGTACCTCTTGTAGAAACCTATCCTATCAGCCACCCTATTATCTTGACCCTTCCCACACTCCAATCCACCGTTGATTATGTTCGTGATCACACCGTAGCCCGGAACCCGACCTGCTGACCTATCAGCATCGGACGGTGTCCATCTTCCTATGATCACGTTGTGGCTAGATGGTTTGTTTCCTTGTGCGGTCATCCAAAACCATATAGCTGTCTTGAATGATATAACTGGGTCCGTGGCAACTAAATTTGGGTTGTTTATCAAGTCAACGCCAATTGCTTGACCTGCTTGACGATAATTGTAGTCACTGAAAGAAATTAAATCAACTGGTCAAAAAATTGTAAAAAGCTTCAAACTTGTTCGAGTTTTTAGAATTTGCCTACTAGTTAATTTATAAGCAACAAATTAGTATTATACAATGAACACTACTACACAAGTTTATTTAATTAGACCTTGCTACTGGATGTTCATATTCTTTGTTTGAAGATGTATTTTTGTATTAGACAAGTAACATGGAGATATTCATGTGATTTGATCAGAAAGAGGAAGATAAAACTTTATAACAAATTAAGAATTACTATATCAACACGTACTGAGTGAGTTGGATAGGTCCACGACCACGATAACGATCATTGTTGTTGTTTTCAGTCACAAAGCAATAACCCCATGCATAAGGACCATCCGGTGCACTTGGCCATCCTCCTATGGATAAAAAAATGATAATATTAATTAGTATAACAAATATGAATAAACCACCAAATTATTGATGAACCGTGTATGTACACTTTTAGGTAACAATTAAACTTAATTAATGATAATTGTGTGAAGTTATTAACCTGTGGTTTCGTGAGAGGTTTGACCAAGGAAAGCTGCGAGCTCCCTTTTACGAGTGGCATCATCACCGGTAGTGCCAAAGCCATTGAAAGACCTAGAAGTAGTGATGAAAGCATCGTAGGTGTAGAACCCGTGAGCCGGGCACCGGTTATCATTCCGGTATTTCAGCATTTGATCAAACAACGATCTGGTGATGATACTGCTAACGCCGCTGCCAGTAGGGGTTGGTGTAGACGGTGTCGTCGGCGTTGAACCGCCGCATTTGCTTTGGCAGTTCTTTCCACAATAGACGGTTGTGGAGCCACACCAACCATATTCACTGCAACACAAGTTATTGGGACATAGAGCGCCTCCAGCTTGTCGTCCACATTGCTCCGCAAAGGCTGATCCTATTACCAAGAAGGCAAAGGGCAAGAGGACAATGATTATAGAACTACAAGACTTCATTTGTTTTTTCTTTTTCTGTTTCAAATTTTGTTTTAGTATATGTTGAAAATACTGGGACAGTGCTTTGGTATTTATAGATGATATAGTTTGTATTCTAGCTAGCTTCGTGCTTAAGAAAATTCAAAAAAGATGGCGGACTTTATTTTCTTCCATTAATTGGCTTGACTTTCATACATGATTAAACACTTGCGTCAAAGATGGGTAGAAACATGTGTAAATGTCAAAGAAATAATATATACTACTCGACTTAGCACGGAGTAGTACTCGTGACCAATTCCCATACGCCAAACTGCCCAAATATCTTCTTGCATTTTTTTTATTCTTGAATTAATTTAGAAAAAAAAAATATCTTCTTGATTTGCTACCTAAGTGCTTTTGTCTCTTTATGAGACAATAGCATTTAAAACTACTTTATTAATGTGTCGTAAATATTCTCTTTCTTTTTTTTTTTTTTTAATATAGTTTGTATTCTAGCTAGCTTCGTGCTTAAAAAATTTCAAAAAAGATGGCGGACTTTATTTTCTTCCATTAATTGGCTTGACTTTATTTGACTAAAACAGATATTACTAGAAAATAAGAAGTAAAATTAAAACTTTTCTTCCTAAAAAAAATATGTCAAAAGTTAATTGAAAGGTAAAGATAATCATATATACTACTTATCTACGCTCTATTACATATACTTGAAGGGAAAATCCAAAGTCCAAACGGACAACGTAAGTTGCACGGTTTTTTTTTTCCCATAAAAAACATAAGTTGCTGAATTGGTATTGAACGTTTCTATTGTTTTTCTAGATCAAGTTAGAATATGTTGGTCATCGTGCACGCGCGTCTATGGTTTAATACCTATAGGAATATCACATTTACTTACTTTTAAGAATCAACACACATAATACATAATGGGTGTTGTTTTAATATATAGTTACTCTAATATTTACTCATCAATTATTATTATTCTCTTAGCTACAAAATATTAATTTAACGGTGGCAATAAATTAAGTAATTGACAAAAATATTAATAAAACAATTGATGAAATATATATATATATATATAAATAAAGTAAAAGGGATCAATGTCTTCTTACGCTTACAACCCAATGATCACTTGTAACTATTAAGACCGCAAGTGGAGTGGAAAGAAATTTAAGCCACATTTTCATCAATTAGTATTTTGAGAGTTCAAAATCACATCAGTTTAAATCATATTTAGAACGAAGGCATAATTTCAGTCTCATTATAGACAATAAAAATCGATCCATAAATACTAGGTAAGAGGCATGTGATAAATTGTCCTCCATGACTGCTATGTTATTGGTGATATATATACATACATATATATATATATATATATATATACGCACACACACTATAAGTAGTATACTGGATCAGAGAATTATTCAAAATTTTTTTTTCTCTCTATTTTTTAGACCTGTCAATGATCAGTCCGCTTGATCTAACCCATATGGTCTTAACGGGAAAAATTGATATCATAGACAACTAGCACACCTTAATTATTCACTATTAACTTAATTTTCTATCAAATTCCCCACTAGAATATTATTAATAAAGAAAAGAACACGAGAGTTTGAATAAAAAGGACAAAATACCATTACTATTTTAACCATTGAATTAACTTTTTTTAACCGTGTACAAGTTAAAAGTTGGGAGCGAGTAATGTACAACCGCTTCAAGTTAATCAACAGTCAAAATTGTAGTACTAGGTACCTGTAGGGCAAAAGTAAGTAGAAATACTACCATAAGTTTTGCCCCAAAATAATGTTAAATTTGTTTTCTTATCCTTGGTGGGCCTCACAAGCTCTAAAAACACGACGAAAAACAATGGTGAACCAAAAGAATTAGTTTATCAATAAGTTTTTTTGGTGAGACCAGGTCCCAGAAAAACGTACAAATCATGGTACTTTTGCAACGTGGTCAATATACATGTGTTCCTACACGGATGTTCCATACCAAATATCCTCAACCACACTTTTTTTTTTCTTTTTTTTTTAACCGATGCCCGCTTCATTATTCTTTCTGAAAGCCAAAAAGAATTCAGAATTAATCTGTGAACAACCATAGGACACCAGCAAGTTTTATTGTATTAGCGACAAGAGCAGAGGATACATATGTTATAATTAGTTTTTATTTTTTTTATTTTTTTTAATTTGCACAAAAAAAAAAAAAAAGGTTTAAGACATCCCAAAGATTAATACCTAGCTAGCAACTCAACTTCTCAAACCATATCAAGCTCCCACTTACTATGTTGACTAAAAAGAACTTAGAAAAAGTTAACTACAATTATAAAAGAGTAAACTAGCTAGTTCAAAGGACAGCACACAAAAAAAAAAGGCGGGAAAGATTTGCTGGACAAATGAGGCGTGGTGGACGAACGAAGGACGAAGGAGGCTGTCGGAGGACGCATGAAACGCCCAACCAAATGAATAAAGCGCTGATCAAGACCTACATCAGACCTTTGTCAGCTATCAAAGAGTGATTATATCTAGCCCTAAGCAATGTGCTTTGTACCCAAGTTTATTAAAAAACTAAAAAGAAAACAAAATTAGAATTCATACAAAAAACAAATAAGATATCCACCGAGCATGGAAAATGAAAAACCATCTTCGATCTTCCAAATCGAACAAAAACTGATTAAGAATAGCTTCAACCGGTAAGCCTTATAACAATATTAGTCTTCCAAATAAATAGAAACATGTTATTGCGGTTTGAAAACTACCAAACTAGTATATCCTATATATGTGAGAACACAACAATAAATATTTACCCTTTATTTGTTTCTTCCTTGTTATCTTTATAATTTTAATGATCATGCATATTTCATAATTATTTTTACTAATCGTTTTATATGAATAATATTTATATACTCGATCTCTACTTAATTTTTTTTCCCTGAACAAAAATGAGATTGAGTGTGTCCCACCGCGGAAACAGACTAATTAAAATTAACGTAAAATAAACACGGTTTTAAATCACTTAAATCCACAAAATGAGATCGACTTGAAAATAATAATTAAATCAATGCCTCACAAGGGCTTAAATGTCCAAATTTAATTAAAACAATTTGGATACAAAATCTTTTAGAATATCGGGACTGACCGTATAGTACAATTTTTGTACAACAGTTACAGAAATGATGAAACTTAAACAACTAATACCTTATGTTAGCTTATAGGAATCCATGAGAGCCACTAACACATTTCGGTAACTCAAATCATACCTTTAACTCAGGTAGCTACACACAATCCGGGAGGAGAAAATTTTAAAATACTAAAACATGGGCGAAAGACTCAGTAGAATATTTCTTTTAAACCTAAATTGTTCAAAGCCAATTTTCGAAACAACATTTTTAAGTAAATAAACTAATACATAAATAAATAAATAATACAGAATCAATAAACGTGCAGATATAAAAATAAAGAAACAATGCCAACAATGCAATTTGTGTCCCTACTATTAACTTATAGTAGCATGTAATATTCCAGGGCCATCGCCAACAAATACTGAGGTGATTCTCCCGATCAGAAAAATACACTCTTTGCACCGTGTGTGCAATCCGGCCAATCGAAGTATAAACTTTAAAATACCTTAAAACCATTTCTGAAAATAAGGAAAATACAAAAATATTCAAAATATCCATAACTAGTATATACTCAACTCTTGGAATTCTTTTTCCAAAGCCACAATAATTTTCCAAATATCAATTCTGCAAATCATGATATTTCTCAAATCAATTATAAAGTCATTTGCTTAAATTAATACTGTAGCCAACAAAGAAAGGGTTCTGATATCCTACCTCTTTGGCATAAATTTTACTGAACAATTTCTTCAGTGTTGACGTCTGCCCGTTTCCGCTTTTAACTGTCCCATGATCCTTTATTAAATAATTCAACGATTAAATCTCTTCCTTTAATCTGGTTTCTCTGTTGTTTTTCAACAAAGTCTTCAAGTTTCCCCTTACGCTTGATGAGTTCTATTGAAGAAATTAAAACAAAGATGGGTTTTTCAATTCTAAAGGTTTGAGTTTCTCTAGTAAAAGGAAGGGTCTAGTTCTCTGCAAACAATGAGGGAGAGAAGGGAAGAAAGAAGCGTGAAAAAAAGATTAATGAAATGAGTAAAAATGAGAGTTAAAAATTAATAGCATTAATTTAGTATTTTAAAAACAATTGGATAAGTCTAAAGATGTCAAACGGTCCATAGAAGTAGGAATTGAACATTCTAATGTGTGTTCTACAGTTGAATATCACATGGCTTCTCTTTACAATTTTTTTTTAAATTGGGGCAAAAATGAAATGTTTGAAAAATCCAAAGCTTAAAATGAAAATTTCCAAAAATTTCCAAAATGATGTTAAATTAAATTTCAGGCACAGAAATACCAATATTTATATTTAAATATTTAATTTGGCACACTAATAATTTTAATTTTACATAATTAAACACAATAATTTTTAATTTTGCGGGCTTACAGGGAGAAAATTTTCAATGTAAATAAAGAGAATAACAGCTCATTTATTTTATCGATTCGAATTTAGACTTTGAGTTTTTTTATAGTAAAAAGCTTTCACAAATAGTCTTATTTAACTTTTTTATTACAGTAAAAACTCTCATATATAAAGTCACATCTTAATAGACAAAACGGGCCCAAAAGTGGTATAATAGACAAAACCAGTACGTGCTGCAAACATCTGTTTAAAAAAAAAAGGCACGTACTGCAAAGATACTTTAACATATCTCCTAAACACCATCTTATTTATTACTGTTTACAACAGAAAACGAGCAGCATATACTATCCGATCAACGTGTTCGTGGTATAGCAAAAGGAGACAAATACTTTTATTAGAATAAATAGTAAGAGACAAGCGGATTATTGTGACATTTCTACTACTATAATTCACGATCGACCATGGAACATGTACTATCCGATAAGAAAGAATTTCGAATGTGTTTTAATTTATTTTGGTTTCACTAGAAAGATTTTTACCTAAACCTATTTGGGAAACTAATTTTTCACTGTGTAGTTTTGACTTGACCGTGTGGTGTTGGCTCTCCGCTTGTTCTTATTTAATTTCCTATAAAATCTTTATTTTTTATGCCGATGTCTTTTGACTTTTTTGCTGTACTCTTAATCCTTTGTTAATTTTTTTTTTTTTTTTTGTTCTTATTAATAATGTAGAGTGAAAAGCCGTATGAAAAAGGAGCTTTAGGGGTAGCAACTAGTTGGGATAGGAGCTCTATGGTCGTATATTATATATATATATACATATATATATCGGATTAGAGCGGCATTTATATATTTTATTTTTAAAATATGTATATTTTCTTTAAAAAATGTGTATATTTTCTTTTAAAATATGTACATTTTTTTATGATAAAATGTATAATATATACTTATTTTAAGAGGAAATATACACGTTTTAAAGAAAAAATATACATATTTTAAAAAAAAAAAATTATACAAGTGCCGCTCCAGTCTGGTACTGGACTGGTGACTTGACCTATATATATATATATATATATATATATATAGGTATGTATGTAGATTTTTTTTTTGTGAGCAAAATATTGATTCATGGATGAGAGTGCAATGTTGTTGTATAGAGTTTTAGAATTTCACCTACCTTGGAAACGCGTTTTTCTTTTTTCTTTTCTTTTTTACGAGTTAAGAATACTTCCTTTTTAATTAATTAAGACTACAAAAGATTGCACAAAACAGAATCCAAAAGAAAAGAAATAAACATAAATTTTGATTTAAAATTAAGAAACAAAAAAAAAATTACAGGATCTCCAAATATTTGAACCTCTGATGGAACTTCTTGCCTGCCTGAAGCGAAAAAAACTGGCCTCCGCTATTATTATCCAGAGAAGACCACCGACCTAATTAATATTACCTTTGAAATATGTTTATGCTGAGTTTGAATATATCTTTCTTGTTGAGTGTCATTATTCGTACTCACTTAATTTTATTAACTTTCAATCTTTCTTGTAGAAATATGAATCATAATTTGTACTGTCACTTAACTTTATTAATTACCTTTCCATTAAGAAGCATTTACTATTTAATTGTTGTGGTTTGATTTAGAGTTTTTCTTTTCCCGTGTATTTTTCTTTTTATTAATAAAATGGAGTGAGAGATTTAATATAAAATAATTTATTTGTAGATGTCGATTTAGTTGGGACATAATGAACTTCTTTTACCAAATTTTATCTTATGTTTGGCATGAAAAATCCATACAATTAGGATTGAGGAATGGGTACTCATAATTTTAATAATGAAGTTAAAGCAGCTATCTTATATATATCCTTAATTTCAGTTTTTATATTTTGGATAACACCATACCTCTTTAAAGAAATGCTTTCCTTGATTGTGGTGGCAATGGTTTAACATTAAGAAAGTCCTAAGATTTTTCTCATAGATTACTTCTTTTTTTTTTCTTTTTTTTTTAGTTTGCATTTGGATTGTTTTTCCTTCTTAACTTTCTCTTTTTTTTTTTTTTTTTGGTAATGCTTCTTTTCGTTCTTTAATAATTTTTTTATCTGTCTAAAAAAAGGACAAAAAAAAAAAAAATTGAAGCATCATTCCTATGGTAAGGGTAGATCCTAAGGGTTTTGAAAAAAAAGAAAGAAAAGAACTTGATATGAGAAAGCTATTATTTTATTACAGATACAAATCATATAAAAAGCACACCTCACTAAGTTGAGGAGCTTATTATTTTATAATTACAAGCAGTTGAGTTCTCCTTATTTTATTACATACACGCAACATATATATATATATATATATATAGTCGTAGCAAATTACTAGAGCTTTTTCTTGATATCAGGATCAAAAAGCTCATGATTACATATGATGTTTTATTCTCGTCCCATATACATTATTATGCCTTGTCGACAGGCATTTTGAGTATCCCATATTTTGGATTCCTAAGAGTAACCCCATAAGACCTTTGATTATAGCAATCCAAGTTATCCCCAGGGTCCACTCCCAGCAAGTGACAGTATCTCAGATAGAAGCCAATTCTATCTTTCACCCAATCATCAGGACCATGGCCACATTTTAGATCTCCATTGATGATGTTGGTGGTCACACCGTAGCCCGGAAGTCGGTTGGCTGCTATGTCTTTTGGAGTTGGCTTCCATGCGCCGACTATAACTTCGTGGCACGACGGTTTGTTGTACTGTGGAGTCATCCAAAACCATAAGGCCGTCTTGAATGATACAACGACGTCTGTGGTAACTAGATTGGGATTGCTAAGTAGGTCTAATCCAAGTGCGGCTCCTGCTGGCCCATAATTGTAGTTGCTGAATGTTTAAAAAATTAATTTTTTAACAAACAATGAGAGAAAATAACTAATATTTATTAAAAAAGTAGTTCATTCACGAACAATCACAACTTAATTATTTGAAAATAATTGCGGTAATTAATTAATTAATTAATTAAAACAATTTCTAGATTACTACTTACTGACTGAGCTGGATTGGTCCTCGGCCGTAATAACTTTGACCAGCAACACAGGGCCATTCAGTGTTAGGAACACAATAGTCAAGTGGGTTGCCTACTTCTCTAACAAAGCAATATCCCTGGGCATACGGACCATCCGGTGCGTGGGGCCATCCTCCTACACGTACTCAAAACAACAATATAAGTAGTCACGATAAACATAGATATACATACATACATACATAATTTCTTAAAAAATAAAAGAGAGTGATGGACTAGATAGCATCAAATTAGATCATAAACACTTACGTATACATGTAAAATGGTCAAATTCATACAAACATATATCACGTTATTAAATTTTTATATTTATTAATAAATATCGATAAAAACCTAATCATTAAAACCCCGTGTATATGTATATGCATATAAGTAAGTACCTGTGGTTTCATGAGAAGTTTGGCCGAAGAAGGCCGCGATCTCTCTCTTACGATCTTCAAGCGTGCCAGTAGCACCAAACTCAGGGAAATGTCTAGAGGCGGTAATGAAACCCTCGTAAGTGTAGAAGCCATGAGCAGGGCAAACCGGATTGTTCCGATGGAGAAGCATTTCTTCGAAGAGGGCCTCAGAAATGATATTGCTGACGTCGTCGGGAGAAATGGGATTTACTTTCGCAGAAGAAGCGGGGCATTGGCATTGGCAGTTTCCGGGGGCACAGTAGGGGTCGGTGGTGCCGCAGTATCCGTAGATGCTGCAACAATACCCTTCTGGACAGTTACAATTGGGATATTGTGTTCCACATTGTTGAGCCCCGGATGTTGCTACCAACAAGCCAAGGGCCAAGATTATTATAAGACTAGCACTGCGGAAGTTGATCATCATCTTGATTATTTTTTTTCTTTTCTCTTGCAAGTAGTAGTAAGGTGGTTCATGAATGAGATTGTAACGTGTCTATATATAGTGTTTCAATCCCAGCTACCTCCAAGCCACCTTTTTTTTAGTTTCCTTTTTTGACCTCCAAAATATGTTCATTCAATTGAATGCATTTTCTTTATTTCTTTGAACCCTCCGTACCTTTCTTTCTTTCTTTCTTTTTTTTAATTAGTACTAACGGTACAGTTGAGACAATGAAAACTTATTAATTAATCAATATATTATTTAACCGAGTTAAATTAATACTCTTGAGACCAAGCCAGGACCGGCTAAAAATATTATTTAATTGGAATTATTAATTTATTGAGGTAATATTGTATTACATGTTTCATTCATCTGAATATTATTTTTTTTACTTTTTTTTTTTGTATTACGGTGTTGATCGATCTATAATTCAGGTATATGGCCTCCAAAGCGACTAATCCATGTTTTTTAATTAGTACTAACGGTAATACACAGTTGAGACAATGAAAATTTATTAATTAATCAATATATTATTTAACCAAGTTAAATTAATACGCTTGAGACCAAGCCAGGACCGGCTAAAAATATTATTTAATTGGAGTTATTAATTTATCGAGGTAATATTGTATTACATGTGTCATTCATCTGAATATATATATATATATATATATTTGTATTACGGTGTTGATCGATCTATAATTCAGGTATATGGCCTCCAAAGCGAGTAATCCATGTTTTTCTAATAGGGTTTTGGAATTCCTCCTACTATACGGAAACACGTATTTCTATTAACTAAGACTACAATAATAATATTACATCTGAGATGAGATATGTTCAAATTTTGCTTGAATGTCTGGTTTGTACTCACTTAACTTTATTAATATCTTTATTATCTTTCTTTTTGAAACATGGAGTCATTATTCGTACTCAATTAACTGTGTCCATTATCCCTCTGACTAAATTTATTTACTTTATTAAATATGGATAGATTCAGATTTTTTTTATTTCATGTATTTTTTGTCTTTTCATTAATACAATAGATCAGTAAGGGATTTACCCAATATCTATATGGGTGTGGGAAATCTCATATTCACTTACCCAGCTTTATTCTTATAAAATGAGAGTGTATGTCATGATCGGAAAATTTGTCGAAAAAATTATTGTATAAGATAAAATTTCTTAGAATTCATTGTATTATGAATATGAATACTTTTATGATAAGTATTCGTTGATATTAATATTGAATAGCAAATTATAAGCTAAAGATAAAAAATTTCTGAATTATATAAGATGCAGTTACCAAATTTCAAGCTGTAATTAAGAAAGAGTCGTGAAATGTTGTGTTATTCTCACAACAGTACAAAAAGATGAATATTAAGTTTATAAAATGAAAAATAATTAAAAAGATATCAATTCTAGGGTTTTAGAAATAGTCAGAACGAAGAACGGACGAAAAAGGGGTTCGGGACGCCGAAACGAGAAAATTAGGATTTTCAACTGATTAGGATTGACCGAGTCAAAATTTGTTGACAAAGATTCTACCAGTAGGCCACTCTTGAAACGTTAGTTAAGGTTGAGTAAAGTTGACCAAGTTGACAAACTGTCTGAAAAACGCAGATAAAACATGTACCAGATAAGAATTAAACTGACTCGAAATAAGATAGTTATTAAAAATGAATGGTTGAAATTTAAGGTGATTAATAGATGGAGGGCTGAGATTAGGACACATGGAAAGAGGAAGGATGGCAAGCCAAGTGAAGAAGAGAAGCAAAGAAAAAAAAAAAAATATATATATATATATATATATTTCTTTTGCAAAAAAGACTTTAGAAAATGTCAAAATTGCACCCAAGTCCCTATCCTTTTATGACCGGTTCTTTAAGGGGGAAAAATGCAACCAAAATGTTCATTTTTAATGCACAAGAACCAGGGAACACTCAGCCAAAGAGAGAAGAAAAAAATTTTCCTAAAGTGAGAATAACAAGTTCAAATCGAAATCTACAAAAAATCACCGTTGATTAGTGTCACTAGAGCTTTCTCTTCATTCTTATAAGGTAAAATTTTAATTTTTCTCCTTATTTCCTGCATAGCTGCACGTACATGAATAGTAGAGACCATGGAAACGTTTTTGCTAAGGATGATGATTTGCTTATTGTTATTAATGGTATCGAAAAACCTAATGACCAAAGGATAAATTTTCGATGATTAGGTTATGTGTTTAGTGTTTTTATTTATGGAAATTCTTGTGAGAATGATGATGAAACCCTAGAGCTTGTGTTGTTTATGATGATGAAAAGAATGAGAAAGGCTGTGTTATGTGTTTGAAAGGTTGAAACAACGGATAAAACGAGCTATGGTTAGCTCAGAAAATACGAAAATTAGGCGGAACTCTGTTGAAATTTAGTTTGAGAATGTTAACCAAGCCCAGTTATAATGAAGAATAGGAGGAATGAGATGTGTATAAAATAAGTTGATTAGGTGATCGAAGATGTATGGAAACATAAAATGATGAAAATTCTCAATTTCAGACTAAAATAAAAAACTAGGCTATTGACCCGAAAATTGTACCCGACTCTATTTTGGCTAGAAGATCAAGATAGAAGTTTAATTTCAAAAAGTGACCAACATCAAAGTTGAAGGAAATTTTTGTTTTAAACAACTTTTGTGAAATAGCCTTTTTTTCCCCCAAAAACGACCCTAGACATTAATTTTAGGTTGATTTCTGAAATAGGTCCAAAATGGTGATTTTACGCCAAATATGGATGGGTTTAGTGCACATTAGTGATATAGGAGATGTCTCGGTCCGGATACCGAACATGAAAATCATAGATCTTTTCAAGGACTTTAGACATGACATGCACACTTCAAGAAAATAACATTCACGAAACCACGAACTTAAGTCAAATTGAATTGCAATTACTGGTCATAGATTGTAAATCTAACAATCATGAATTTATATAATAGGATCAGTAGGCAATCAAGGCAGCAAAGTTTCTGGTGACTCGAAAGTCTTGATTTTAGCGGAACTTCTGTAAGTACCAACAGTTTTCTTTTGTCTATGACACGAATAAGCGTATTTCTCAATGTTGCACAAAAGTGTGCATATTGTAAGTTTAATGTATGCTATTATGTGAAAGATGTTTCTTGAATCTTATTTGTTGCGATGAAAGTGCATATGGACTTAGAGTAGCAGTAGATTTTTAATCTGTGAAAAATCAAGTCAGTAAAAAGTCAAACTTTTAAACAAAGTCCAATTTCATAGGAAATTGGTAGAAATGCTTAAAGATGCAATAATATGACTAAAATTACACATAATAAGAAGAGATGACAGTAAGACGATGTAAAAAGTAAATATGATATATGACAGAAAGTTAATAAAACCGTTTGTACCGGCCTTCACAATGGAGGATATTATGAATGAAACGAAACTGTGGGTGAGTTAGTTTTTGGTGTCTACACCACTCCTCACTGGTTATGTGTGCTATGGTACAATGGGTACGGGGCTCATAAGATGTAAAAGTTATATAAACAAACGACACAAGAACGGAAGTTGAAAGAAAGTATGAAATGAAAGAAAAGAAAGCATAATATGATAAATACTTTTAATGTCTAGAAAATGTGTTAGGGTGTGTGATATGAAATATATGGGTATGCATTACTGATTGCACTTACTGTGGTATGTTGTTACTTAGTGAGAGAAAGCTCATTCCGTTTGTTCATGTTGTAAAAAGCTCGGGTAATGCACCGGCTCCTTGAAACTTGATGCTTGGCATGCAGAAAAGGATGTAGCAGTGGAGTATGGGTAAGTGGGTAATGGATGCACCATGTAATTTGAGTACCTTGCTAAGTGTTTCTAGTAAACAATATTTATGGATGTAAATAAGCAATGTAATGAAAGTAAAATATACGAGACAACGAGATTATGCTTAGCAACCTTAAGACACAAAATATGTAAATGTGCTCAAAATACTATTATGTAAATGGCATATGAATGATAATGGTATGCAAAGTATAAGTTGAATGTATAACCATGCCTAGGAGTAGATTTTAAAGTTTTAAAAGAAATTTTATTTACGGATTGTTTAATATTTAGAAGTTGAAAATATTTTTAAAAAAGTATATTTTTTTAATATTTGAATTTTATGATGAAATACTAATTGACGTTTAATCCCGGTAAAGTATATTAGTATTTAATTTATTATTGAAGTAAAAAAAAAAAAATAAGAAGCCTAAATTAAGGTTTTATAGTTTTAAAGTAGAAGTTAAGATATAAACTAAGAATGAATGTAGTAATGATGACCAAAAGTAAGAGTCATCACAGTATAATTATGTGGATTTCACGCCAATTTCAAATTGAGCAATCCTATTGGCAATTTCACGTTCCATATATCAGATTGGTAACTCCAAAAGCAGTAATAAAGACTGCCATCTTATCCTTACTTTTACTGTCAAATTTTTTAATAACACCATCTAATTTCTTTATAGAAATGCTTCCCCTAATCATAGTACGTAGAGATCGTTTGAAAATGAATATATATATATATATATATATATATGTGTGTGTGTGTGTGTGTGTGTTCCCCTTTTTTTTTTTTTTTTTTTTTTTACTTTGGTTTTGCAAAGTTCTTTTTCCTTGTTCTTTTTAACAATATTTTATTCGTTTTTAAAATAATGAAATAAAGCATTATTACTGTGGTTCGGGTAAATTTTAAGAGTTACTTTAACCATGCTAGCTATTTTATGTTTTTAACTAAATTAACTAATGATTTAGCTAGAATTTAGTTTTTCTCCACTCCAAGTACTATTAGCTAAATGGTTAACTATTTTAGATAATCCAATTCGCAATAACTAAATATAGCTATTTAATTTTTTGTATTATTTTATTGTTTCAAACCATAATAAATGCAAAGATTCTTTTAAAATTTAATAAAGTTGTTTATATTTTTAAGCTCAATAAATATTAAAATAATCTATATTTAATTAAAATAAGGAGTATAGTTGGAGTATATCACC